GGACCCTGGGATCATGACCTGAGCCGAAGGGAGACGCTTAATGACTGAGCCCCCAGGCACCCTCTCCATGATTTTAGACGTAAGAATCGTTGCAAAGGAAGAACAGGTGTGATTGGTAAGTGACTGCCTGTCGGGATGCAGATAAGGGAGAACATTATGCCTGAAGTTTTAAGTCTGAGTGCTTGAGGGAATAGTAAAAGAATCAACAGAAATGAGTAAATCAAAGACAAAATGACAGACATATGGAGAGAACGGATTCCACAATGCAGCTTCAGGTAAAAATGGTCAGTAGGCAGAGACAAAGAAAATTGGATGGAAAAGTCACAAGTAAAGTACATTCACAAGACACAAGAGCATTAACAGACAGTACCCACCAGCCATTTTTCATATTCATCAATAGCTTGCTTATCTTTATCTTTTTTCTCTGCTCTTTTCAGTTCTTCTCTTCTTTTCTCATTTATTTTCTCTTTCTCCTTTTCTTTGAAAAAAGTGTCCTTCTTTTCATTCCTATGTAGGATAGTAGAGAACACTGGACGGTTAACGGGGAGGATATAATAAAGATTCCCTAATACATCCTTGCCATAATGAGATGGCGATGCGTTAGTAAGTTTCAAGCAAATAATCTTTTTAAGAGCCTAAAGCGTTATGCACTTGAAATCTACCAAAATAGCCCTCCTTTGGGATTACCATTTCTCAACGGCGGTTAGGTTATCTTTCCTTTTCTCAGCAATCGTTTCCTCCTCTTTCTGCTTCTTTGCTCTTTCATATTCTCTCTCCTTCTTATTTTTCTCTCTAAGATATTCCATTTTTTTCTCCTTCCATCGTTCAAAGGCCTGAAAAAGTTCATAACGATTTTCTTGTTAACTGTGAAAGTGATCACGGAAGAAGAGCCACAGCTCATCACTAATCTACAGTAGTCAGAGAAGGCGACATGATGCAGGCAGGGACGCCAAGCCACTGAGTACCTGCAGCGCTTCTCCCTTTCTCACGGCATTTTCTTCCTCTGTTCTCTTCTTGTTTTTTGCCTCAAGCCTTTTTTGGGCAGCTATTTTCTTTGCTTCCTTTTCTTTCATAGCCTTCCAGGCCTCAAAGGATGCTAACGCTTCTTCTCTCTTAGCAGCTCTTTTCTATTTCAAAAAAATAAGAGACGGACGTGTGTGTATAAACAGACAGACAGACAGCGGTAGATACAGACACACACATATAGATTGTGTTGAATTCCCTTCATAGTCATCATTTCTAGATATTGTTTTTCAAAGCAGGTAACTTCTTTAGAATGGTTGGGACAAGTGGATTTAGAAAAAAAATGTTATCGGAATTATTCATTGCAGTTTAAAATGTCCTTTTCTAAAATCATTTATCAGATATTGATCTGCTATTCACGGGAAAGAACTCTTTTTTGGAAGCGTACTATACAAATGTTATCAAAATAAACTATAATAGGCTAAGTGCTACTGCAAAATGCTCATTCCATTACAAGAAAAAGATCAGGAAAGTTCCAGGCTTATAAAGTAAGTCAGAGTGAGGTCAACCTGCCAAGTCACGCAGGAAGCCCTGGATCTTTGCTTTGAACCCGAGTTTGGACTGACATCAAAGCATAAACCTGTTAAAAAATAAACGCAGCCCGAATGTTGAAACTGGGTGCCAGACCGGAAAAGATGTAGGTGAGGGTTCGGTGAGAATGTTATTACTTGATTTACCGCCATCTAATCCCATAGTATTCTTTGTCTTACTGCTTAACGCTAAATGACATGAAGACTTATAAAGAGAAAACATGCTTTAGAAGTAAAGGTACAAGCCACCTCAGCGAGGTGCGAACAGGACATGAGAAGGTGTCAGGCACTGGGCACAGCCATCTAAGGCCGCAGAGGTGCTGATGGGGACGCAGGCGCACCCATGCATGGCTGCTCCATGCGGTCCCGGGCACTGGGGACCCGGGGTTCCTTCTAAATCCATTTAGTACTTGGCATCAGAGGGAAGGGCTTCTAGTTTAGAAGTCGGGAGGGAACTAAGCCTGTTTGGGCCCCCAGGCAGGAGTTAGAGGTAGAGACCGAAGTACAGGCCAGACTGAAACAAGAGTCAGCTACAGTGAGTGGGAAGGATACTGGTCAAGAGCCCAGGTAAGAGCTGGTCTTAAGGATACATATAAAATTCAAGGTGGAGAAGAGGAAAACTGGAGGTTCCTACCTGATGACCCTTTATGTTCTTGGCTAAGCTATAAGATTGAAGTCAATTTTTAACAGTGAAAAGTAAAGTAAGAGTGAATAGGAGGTCACAAGTAATAATAAGTTCCTAATCAGTCGTGTCAAATCTATTCCACACATATAAAACCAGAAATCTCTGAGCATGTTTTTATGTAAGATGGCTATATTTATATCAAACTAAAAATGTGTGAAGTACCAGAGAAATAAAATCAGTGATCAATTCTTTTATATTACATGTTATTTTGCCATTTAAAAAAAGACTGGATTTAGAAATGTTACTCAGATATTTCACTGACTTAAAAACCCAGAATATTTTCCACTTCTATATTTCAGAATACCTGTTCATTTTGGATCCTTAAGTTTTCACTTTCGATCCTTTTAATTCTGTGCATTTCATGTAAATACACATTTTTCTTTAATAACCACTCCTGTGAAAACAAGAAAAACAGTATGTAATATTCAGGATGCCTGGGTGGCTCAGTTGGTTAAGTGTCTGCCTTCAGCTCAGGTCATGGGATCCAGTCCTACATCAGGCTCCCTGCTCAGCGGGGGGTCTGCTTCTCCCTCTGCCCCTCCCCACACTCATGATGCCTCTCTCTCTCTCTCTCACTCTCCCTCGAAAAAATAAATAAATAAAATCTTTAAAAAAAAAAGTATGTAATATTCAGTTTCCCAAATGAATCAGAATTCTTATCCATTTCTGAAATATTTGACAGAATTTTTATTTTATTTTAAGATTTTATTTATTTATTTGAGAGTGAGGGGGAGAGAGAAAGAGAGAGAGCAGGAGCAAGGGAGAGGGGCAGAGGAAGAGGAAGAAGCAGACTCCCTGCTGAGCAGGGAGCCCGATGCAGGACTCAATCCCAGGACCCTGAGATCATGACCTGAGCTGAAGGCAGACACTTAACCAACTGAGCCACTGAGGCACCCAAGAAATTTTAAAAGAGCAAAACACAAAATTTAGAAGTTCTATATAAACTAGTATCATTTTTCTTTTTCTGATAATATTCTAATATATAAAGATGAGCATGAGTTAAGAAAATAAACCTTATCTTTCTTAGTTTTAACAACAGACTTCAAAGATTGAATATAATGGCTACATAAGTTAACATTTTTCTCTGAAATTTACAAGTACAATTTTCTAAAGTGTACTATTTTGTATAACAAACAAGACAAAAAAAAAAAAAGGACCTCTTCTGGAACTGTGTAAAAATCAGGAAAGTCTTTTTCTGTGTAAGCTTAATGCAAAGTCTCGGGAAAAAATTAAAACTCTTTTTATTCTTAACAATATACATTTTAAGGAGAAAAAGTATAAAAACACATATAGACCTTAACAGTATTTTTGCTTTTATCGTATTTTTGTAAGTTGCTATGGCGTATTCTCTTAAACAACCACGAATCAGTTAAGCAAAGCTTGGAAGGAAAAAATTTAATAAAAAAAACCTTTGGGTTGCTGAGGTATTATAAAAGAACATCTCTCCCAATAAATTAAGTATTAAGCCACCATTTCTGACAGGGTCGTTTTATTCCTTGATAAACAGGTAACCTTATTACGTGATCAGTTCTTCATTTTTTGTTAGATGTTTTCCTTTTTACCTGGTAAACAACTGCCCTTATGCTGTCTGCTCTTTCAGGTTCTACATTCTGTTTCTGTGAAGGCTTTTGATCCAAGACTTTCAAAGTCCCTAAATAGTGAGAAGAGGTGGTTGTTGATGGAGGTCTCCTTATAGAACTAGATTTCTTTAAAAATTCAGAGGTCATTAACCTGAAAAGATCCAAATAAATCAACATAAAATATTACAGTTGCACTTGGTAGAAGAAAAATTCATTAGAATTTGCAATTACTATATTTTAAATTATATTGTAAATTAATAAATTATAAGTACTTTGAAAGTGATGATAAAAAAGGACAATGATAGTTTTTTCTTAGTCTACTAAGAGCTTCAAACTGATTGCTCTTTCAAGATATTTATAATTAGAACATTTTTAAGAAAAATGGACTACATCTCAAGTTACATGGAAAAAATAATATTAATAAAGCAGATTTTAAGTCTCTTGTATCATTTTGTTACAAAAAACAACTCTAAATATAAAGTTAGAATAACATCCTCTATTTCAGGGGTTGGCGGGAAAATATGGCCCATGATCTGGTTTTGTACAGTTTATTTCATAAGTTTCTGCACCACAGCTGTTTCCCGGCTACACCAGCAGAACTGAGTAGTTACAACAGCGACTGTACGGCCTACAAAGTCTAATACATGTAGTAACTGGCAATTTACAGTTAAAGTTTGCTGACTCTTGTTTTATTTGATTTATGATAATTTAAAAGACTGAGAAGGTTTTGAGTAGCATTTATGAGTTAGGCATTCATTATCCTCAGTGTGAATGAAGCAATATAGAGTCTTATCATTTCAATAAGCCAACTTAGTCCATAGAACCTCAAGGTTTTAAGTACAGTTTCCATGTGTGAGACAAAGGTAGTTAATAGAGAAATATAATGCTGGACTTCTGCTCTATTACTGTGTATGTGCTGTCTGAGGAAAAACAGGAAAGCAACTCTATCCCAGGAACTATGTATAGAGAACCTCTAATCAACTCCTTTTCATAAAGGAATATGATCAACTGAGGAGTTTTATCATGAAGTAACTACTTCATTCAATTCATGAGATGGGAATTTAAAGAAAGTCAGATAATACCAAATGAAATTCACTTTACAGAAGTTAAATTAAAACTAGCTTTATTGGAACATACACTTGGATAATGATAGCTTTATTACCTGCCAGATGCACTGGATGCTCTATTATTTGTTGACTTTTTATTCTTCATATTTCTGTCTTCAATGGTTTTCTATTAAAAAGAAAATACCATAGATGGATTACTCACCATAATTATCACAGTTAGGCTTAGAGGCCAAACTGCCAGGGAATCAATGTTCTTAAAGCATCTACTATGTCAAGTACAGGAGCCTCTGGAAACTCGTAAGGATACTACATTTTAGAGAGTGTTGACGGACATGAAACACAAAATCGAAAGTGAGTCACGACGGAGATAAACTAGGGTCCAGTGACAGTCACTACGGTGAGGGGTTATGTTAATGACAGTGACCAGGGAAGGCCTACCCGAGGTCTTGACAGCAGCGCTAAGACAAATGATGGGAAGAAAGAGGCCACATGAAGGAAGGTCTGTGGGAGGAAAGAAAGAAGCAGTGAATGTCAAGAGCCTGAGAGGGGAAGGGGCTTGATGATTTTGAGAAACAGAAAAAGGTGAATGACGCTGAAGCACAGTGAATGGCAGTGAGAGTGGATGAATATGGTCAGAGAAGAATCGCGTGAGGTCCTGAGGATGCGGGGAGGAGTTTGCATTTTATTCTAAGGAAGACAATCCAACCAAGAGACTTTAGCAGGGGAGTGATGTGATTCAGACTTGAGGAAGATCCCACAGGAGGGAGTATGGATAAAGCCAAGGATTCAATCAAAAGAAATGTTACGATCTTACTTGTTATACAGAAATTGGCTGTTGTTATTTAGAACGCCTCTATTAGACATTTCTAGGATCATGTCTATAAGTTCCAGAATACCCTTTTTCTTTTTATGGAGTAACCTCTTTACTTTACACAGTTAGACAGGTGCTAGCATTGAAGTGAGACCACAGATGTAAGCACATCACTAACTTGGCATGAGTGACTTTTCCTAAAGAAAGTGGTTAGGAACAATAAATCTGGAACATGGTTTAATGAACCTTCCCCATAAATTTTAACACAAAGCACTGATATTCTGTATTATACAAGTCCTATTCAACCACAGGTTTTCAACTAGCACTGTTATCTTCCTCAACAGTAAGTATACATAGTTACCAGCTAACTATAGCTATAAGGAATAAAGACTAAATTCAAGAGAAATAAAAACTAAAAATGCTATACCATAAATCTTAAAAATATAGTATTCTGGTACATTATAGCTAGGTGACAAGTAATACTACACACTGAAACTGTGGTTCTCAAGGTTAT